TGTATTCTGATGAGACAGAAGGTGTGGTCTGACATTTAATAATTTTTTATGTGTGTTGACTGGACATATGTATCTGAATTTAGCCATTGGGAAACATCAATTAATGGGTTAGAATAGATGCACAAATGCTCCACTCGTCTTCATGTAAAAACAAACAGTACCAGGCCAACTCTAGTGCCTTTGTAAGATGTTGCCTTTATATTTGCCAGTTTTGCATTAAGAAGCAGTTACGTTGTCTTTAATTGTTTTGGTAATAAGTGCTGCCCCTCCATGGAATATTTATAGACAATGTAACTGTTTAACATACCATAAAACTAGCTAATAGTTAAAAATCAGTTGGTGTATACAAAGTAAAAACATTATAGGAACTATTCTTTATGACTTGCCACTTCCCAAATAGACATCTAAAAACTGCAGCTGTTGTGTGACCAATATCTCACAGTCAAAGTGTAATAAGGATAAGATAAAATAAGGATGGGTAATAGAAAACCGCAAGATGCAGAAAGTTATGGGCGAATTCTTTCCCATATGATTGTAATTATCCTATGGCAATCGTTAACAACTCTTTTAAGAATGATACAAAAGTTTATATAAAATAAGATTATAAATATAAAAAAACAACCTTAAAAGCCTAATTTGCAGCAATTGCACTGGATATCCATTGAATTCTATACTTGTTTTTATTCATCTTTACCTGTAAAGGTGCGCTGAAAGACACGCTGGGTTTGCAGCTGGTTGGTCCCTTTGACATCCTGGCAGGAGCCCACAAAAAATCCAAGAGTCCTCAGCCTAACTTCCACCTTCACTGGAGGTATTTGTACGACCCACCAGAGTTTCAGACCATCCTTTTGGGGAGTGAAGACAGAAAGCATCACATTGGCTACTACAGGTAAAAACATAAAACATGTTCACATCTGAAGTCTGAATGAGTAGATCTGTGTACAACCTGTGAAATTCCTTTTATTATGGCTTTTAATGCTGTAGCTTCCACAATAGGGATCTTGATGAAACAGTGATAACTAAAAGAACAATTAGTTCTACTTTACTGAATTGTATTCCCAAAATTAATCAGAGACAGCCCAGACTCCCTCCCTGCATTTGTTGGAGAAAATGAAGCCAAGAAAGGCTGCACTATCACACAGATGGGGGACAATGTGTTTGCTGCTGTTCTGTAAGTACCAACCACCACATATTCACCATACAGAAAGTAGTGTTAAATTGTGTAGTACATTATCAAATTTCAAAAATGTAAGCACACAGATCACGGATATATTCATGTACACATGGATTATATGTTGGTCACACAAGACTGTCAAACACTCAATACTGACTCGGATCAACGATCATAAAAGGTGATAGTGGTACCCTTACAATTAGGATGATATGCATAACTATTGAAAACTACTTTTCTTCAAACAGTCTTTTTACTACCATACATTTAATTGTTCCCTCCTCCATCATCAGTCTGTTTCTGCTGAAGAGGAGGAAAGAGAGAGGCAGCAAGAAAGCAGATGGAGGGGCTTTGGAAAGCTTAGAGGCACAGCTGAGAGACCGGGCAGAAACTCTGGGCTTGTCTCTAGAGCAGAAGACTAAAGGCATGAAGCAGAGGGACAAGAAGGTAACTTGCACAAGAGAGCAAATTGTAGTTTTATCTAAAATCTTTTGTTTTAACTCCTAATTTTACCTCATATGTTGCTTTTTACCAAGGACTATCAGTTTAGACCATTGCAGTGTATATATTCAATACTGTACAGTAAATCAAGGACACCTTATGACATGTTATACCCCCAGCTTTTGGCCTCTATATAAGGGACCTCCTTGGTACAGTCACAGTGGTTAAACGTATTACTGTTTCAGCCCCACCACATCACGTAATAAGTGTATTTAAAAAATGTTTAATAGGTTGCTGTCCAAAATAAGTCATATATTTGACCAAAGTTGTTCCAAGTCGCCACCAGCATGTAATCTCTTCACCTCTTATCCCACCACAGGTAGTCACCAAGACGTTCCACGGTGCCGGCATCGTTGTACCTGTAGACAAGAATGATGTAGGGTACAGAGAACTACCAGAAACAGATGGTGAGCTTATAAACTGTATACAAAGCAATTTACTTTGTTGTTTTTTTTAGACTTGCAACAAGCATTTCAATCCTGGTATGGGAGTGATGACGTTTTATCTTTTTTTCTCCCTCTTCGCTATCCAGCTGGTCTAAAGAAAATCCTAAAGGCAATTGTTGAAGCCCGGAATGATGAAGAGCGCGTACAAGCCTTTGGACCTCTCCAGGAAATGGTCACATTTGTTCAGTTTGCCAACGATGAGTGTGACTACGGCATGGGATATGAACTAGGATTGGACCTCTTCTGTTACGGATCCCATGTGAGTCTCATAAAGTTGAGCATTAAATCCCTTTTGACACACTCAGAGATTTGACTTTATTTCACCCACTGTCTTTGCTTCCGGACCATTCTCTTCAATATACTGAATACAAATGTAGACACATTATATAGGGTTACTTTCATGTGTGCTCATCGCATGCTTTTTGTGAATTAATCTATTCAGATTATTATTTAGCATTTTCAATTATGAGCAGTGCTTCTTCAGCATCTTGTAACATTGTTTTTGGTGCATCTGCATTTGCAGAAGATAAATCGTTCAGTATTGCCTAAATACTAGGAGTCCCTCAAATGGGTCACACAATACATCTGTGTTGCAAGTTATGAGAGTTAGAAAAACCCATTTCTATTATTTTGGGGGGATTTTAAAGCCAAAGGGTTATAGGCCATGTAAAGGTCTGAATGTTGGAAAAACCATGGAGATTAAAGTAAGAAATGCATTACTAATCTTTGGTTTCCTGATTCTCCCCAGTATTTCCACAAAGTTATCAGGCAGCTTCTGCCCATGGCCTACAGCCTCCTGAAGAGGAATTTGTTTGGGGACATTTTGGAGGCCCACCTCTCCAACCGCAACCAGGACACCCTGGATCAACTGTCCCCATGTTAAAAAAGACTCAGAAGTACACCCCAGCTCTAGCTCTAATAAGCTTTTCCCACCATGTGTCCTTGTCCGCTGTTCTTTGTTATTATTGTTAACGTTAATGGTGGTTTTGGTGCTGCTGTCATGGATTGGAACCAGTTCAATGATATTCTTGTCCTTAAAAAGTAGATGTCTAATAAAGTATTTTTATATTATTTACCTGTCAGGTTTTGTATTCAAGGTGAATACTGCACCTTTCCTTTTTAAATTCAAGTTCCCTTATAAAACATGACTTTTGTTTCAAGTGTGATACCATGCAGTGGTAACAGAGGGCAGTATTGCATTTAAAAGTGTTTTGTCCTTGTGAAACATATCCCTACCTAAACATACAGGTTTAATCATCATATCCTATGGTAAGATAAACTCAGCAGTCAGTCAGCTCAGCAATCATTTACACTGATTGGGAAGAACCTTTTTTTTTTTAAAGACAGCATGAAGTTTGTTGCCTGAGGTTCATGAGATGGCTTGGATTCAGTCTTTTGATCTACTTGTGAAATCTCATTTACAATGGATCTGTTATTTCTATGGACATGCTGTATGAAAAAGGAAAACTGCTATAGTAAACTTAGCAATCACTTGCAGCATAGAGGAAACATAACAGAACCCTTAGGAGCACGGCTAGGGGCAATATGTTACACACATATCAGGATGGATTGGTAAAATGTGTGCAAACGTATTGCTCATGGTGCCAACCATTATTAAAGTGCATTTATCTACTTACATCTAGCAAAAACAGCCTGAATATTACATGAGTCGGTCTTTGTGTGGGTATTTTTTATTTTTATGACCGTAACATTTATTCCTGTTACAATTAGCAGTCATCCAGGCAGGGCAGGGGAACACCCATCCAAACTTAGTCCTGTTTAATACAGGTTATCTTTCATACATGTGCTTTCTGAATACACACAGACAAGCTTAAAAATGTATCTTCCAGTTAACATTTGCTAAAGTTCTGTTCAACCCTTATTCCCCTATGACATTTTTCACTCTGCCATTTAAAGTGAAGTAAATTAAATAGTATATGACTTGGAAGAGCGTAATTCTAATGTGAACCTCACAAATCTCTAAACAGTGACAGGTTTTTTTATGTTTAACATGAAATATGACACTTCCTTTCTCCAACTCGCCCTCCTCCACTCCTGTCCTGTCTGCTTTTTAAATGTCTCCAAGACATTGTTATTGATTTTGCCCTGTCAACCTCCATTAAATGTGTAGCTCAGTGAGGACACACAGGCCAAGATGGGGGCGTAAGAATACTAAGGGAGCTTACATTATGTAAGCCCAACCCAATGTGCCCGGGGCTTCAGTGATCTCATATTTTTGCAAGCACTCTTACAGTTTTCATTCAATCATGGACCACACTGTAAACTTACTGCTGCAGAAGCACCGACGGGTGGGGTGGGGGGGACGACGACGCAAAAAGCAAAACAGAAGCGCACTGCTGCTGCTTCTCGGTGCATTCATGTACCATTAGTAGGAAATGGTCTCGCCATAAAATGTTTTGTTATATTTCAGTTTTTTATTAGAGGTCAATGGGGCAGAGCTTATTTTTCTCTCTGGTAGTAAACTATGAGTAAATCTGTCGTGGTAGTGTATATGCTGTTTGTAGTACAGTAATATACAAACATAACACGTTGAAAGTAAAAACATAGGCGCACTTTTTCTCATTAGTAACATACTAAAAACCAAAAATAACATATTATGAATCACTGTATCTATTGCTCCTCCCCTATAGAGTGTTTGAGCAACTGGAGTGTCAGAAGACTGCAGCTTTTCTGATCGATCATGCTAATAAAGGTGCGTTCGCTAAGTTTCCGACTGTCCCTGAAAGCATCATTGATCCTGCGGAGTTTCGGGGAAGCGCATCTGAGGCGCGTTCACATCTCCACAGTCCACACATACACACGCAGTCAGGGTACAGCAACACACAAGGAGCATCTCTGAGCAGAGGGAGCGCTCGTTTTCGTTTGACAATCTGCAAGAAACACAGTATTATATTTTGTCACGTTTCATAACAGACTGTGTGTCACGCAGCAGAATGATTTCGGGCCCTGCCGAGCCTTGTGGACACTGAGGCCCGCACAGAGATCCACCTTGCACTGGCCAAAGGACCATCCAGCAGCCATCCCGAGACAGAATGTCAAGCAGCCCTGAAGGAAGTCTCTCCAGGGGCGGCAGCTCCGACCGGGACGCGAAGATGGCTTCTTCGTGCAACACGTCCCCCGAGGGTGGACCTCCACCACCGCTGCACCAGAACCGTATACGGCAGGTGGGTGTCTGTCCGCAGCCCGCGCTCTGCATTGACCGGCCCAGTCAGCCGTTAACCAGCAGCCCGAACCGCTGCTGATGCTGCGTGCTTGGGGAGGGCAGGCAAAAGGCGTTGCCGTGCTTCATAGGCACATAGGCTGGTGGTCTTAAAGGTTTTCTTAGATGTTTTAATTGTGTTAAATTGTGTTAATTAGCTATTACTGGGAGCATGTGTCTCACCAGAGAAAATGCCATCTGTTTTGATAAGAGACTTAGTTAGGAGAGTGTGATAATACCTAAATAAGCCAGTTATTATGGCCGTCAAAATAAACACCAACAGACTTGCACTGACTCCACTAGTCACTATTTCAGGCTGCAGTGAGCAATGTTTACTACTTCACTATACCACCCACTGGAGGACTACTGTTTACATTGATCATATTATGCTCTACTGGTCAGAGGGTGAGCATCCCTATTTGTAAATGCTGTGAACTTGTTATTATTAGCCTCTATGAGTGCTGGGCTCTTTTCTTTAGTAGGTGTAATGTGTCAAACATTAATAGTTAATAGACATACAATATAGCACATTCACGCACACACAGTCAGATTGTGTGCTGGTTCCCTTTGATTATAATGCATATTGTGTGTGTGTGTGTGTGTGTGTGTGTGTGTGTGTGTGTGTGTGTGTGTGTGTGTGTGTGTGTGTGTGTGTGTGTGTGTGTGTGTGTGTGTGTGTGTGTGTGTGTGTTGTGTGTGTGTGTGTGTGTGTGTGTGTGTGGTGTGTGTGTGTGTGTGTGTGTGTGTGTGTGTGTGTGTGTGTGTGTGGGGGGGGTGACTATGTGTTTTCTAAGGCCACTCTGGGGTTGGGCTGGTTTGCCAGTAAGTCTTTCTGTCCTTGGGTGGAGTGAAATTATGATATTAATGAGCAGCTTCCTCATCCACTCCTCTTCTCTCGTTTCTTCTCCTCTCCTCATCAAAACAACTTCATCAAATGTATTGCTAAAAAACATTTAATTTAAGTCTATGGGTCTGTTGTCACAAATGTGTGGCATAAACAGGAACATTGAGGTTAAATTAACTTTTGGATCTGATCATGTAAAATGTGTGTTTGTGTATTTAGTGAAAGTGATTCAGGAGATGGAAGATGGTTGCTTCCTGTCTCAGTGCACTCTTTCAGGCTAATGTGATTTCAGTAATGGACTGTAGTGCTACAAATACACACACAGCTACACACACGTATAGACACACACTTTACTCTCTGATTTTAGGGTGGGGCCATTTTGATTACATACTTGTAGGAAATCCGGAGTTTTTGTATTTGGAGCTTTGACAAATCTAAAGTGACACTGCATAAACGGGTTGTTAGTTCATGATTAAGTGGACATATTGTGCCGGGGGAATCTAAATACTAATATTGTTCAGTGGAAGTGTTCCTCAAATACACAGAGAGAGCATATTCGTTATAGATCTCTGACGTTTTATTTGACTTAGGCATTTTCCTTTATATTCTCCAAGAGTGCATCATAAGACTTTTTCGGAGACTAAACTGGCAAAAGAAGTCAAACTTAAAACTAATGCTAACTAACTTTGAACACAAATCTACCTCAACTGAGATATGTATCCACATGTGTGAAGATCTTGCATACCACTGCACATAGGCTGAACCTCGATAATGCTTACATCTTTTGGCAGCTAAAATGTTAAATGGTCACACAAAAAATTGCAGTATATTTTCCCTATACTCTTTGTTTTTGTACTGAAACGTAAAAGTTTCACAGCTACAATTTAGGACACATCGGACTAAATGTGTTCCTTTTAAAGCAGGAAGTAGTTTTGGAAAGTTGAGGGTTCACTGTTTATAGGTAGCACACTGCAAGTTTCACCATGGGGTCCCATGTTTAGCAGCAGGGGCTCCAACTTGGCCCCATTGATTGATCACAAGTAGCAATGTTGATGAAAGATCATGTTCTCAGCACCTGTAAGTTAACTGCTGCTGGTTTGTCTGTCTGTTTTTTTTCCTTTCATCTACACTCTCCCCTTGCCCAAGAGTGGAACTTGGCTTTAGCAGTGACTTAACCTAAGGTAGAATTGGACATTGTAAGACAAAAGAAGACACATAGTTTTGCATTTCCATTGTTTTGAAAACAACAACATTTAATTCAACTTTATTGTATAGTACATTTGGCAAATATCTATACTAAATATCTCACAAAATCGTCAAAACAGTATAAATCGCTAGATGCCAATAGAGGTTAAGTAGAAAACTATGTTTTTTTCTATGATTTGGGGGAATTGATTGTGTAAGCTAGATGAGGCTCTGTGACAGAGTTTGGAAAACACAAGAGATAGATAATGGAAACTGTAAATGCATTATACCTGATAAAACATAATGTTGAGTTAGAGCTCAGAACAACAATAAGGTATGTGAGGCAAAAAGGGAAAATGACAAAGGAATTGTGTGATGGCTGGCTGTTACTTGGGGGTCTAAAAATACTTCCTGTCTCTATCGTGATTGTCCTGGAGAATAATAGTTTCTCCGAGCCAAGTGGCTGTGTGTCCATGTCTGTGTGCTCACTGATCCTTTGTCACTGAGCATTTGCACTCTCACATTTATGCTCTGGGCTGGTGCTGAGCGATTGCACCCCGCAGCCTACTTTCTTCTTTATCTAAACAATAAAACATTGCGTCACTATTTGTCAACCCTCTCCCTGTGCCAGTCCACTTGCCTGTGGTTGAATAGTGGATACTAAGAGAGCTCCGTTTTCAGAGATCAATTTAGGACTGGATTGTATGTCCAATGCAGTCGGATATTGATCATTGAAATCTTTGAACCTCCATTCTTAATTTCAGACATGCTGGCCACGTTTAGATCTAAGCTCTTAGAGATTGAGCAGTAAGAGTTTCCTGAAACAAATGTCTGTATTTTAAATGGTCTTGGTCTGGTCATATATCAAGAGCAGAGCCTGGAAAATAATTTGTTCCTTTTCCTTGTAAACCCATCTGGAGGCATTGACTTATTTGGTTTTACTTCTGTAACTTTAATAACATAACAAACGTATTTTAAGCCACATTATTAAGACAAGGTTTATGAATGACTTGTAACAAGGCAATTGGACCTGTTTCATTCATACCCAGCTTGGTGGGCGCATTCCTTTTAAGTTAAATGCAATGTATCCCATATCCTACTCCAGAGCCTTAATTTCTCTCACTCTCGGAAAATGGGTTTTACAATTACTTTTTACCTTATCTTCTTGGCTGTCATTCATATTTATCTCTCATTTCCATCCAAAACACCTCCCACACTTTACACTGTTGTTCGCGGACTCCTTCCCACCACTGGTCCTACTCCCTACACTTAGATCCTGATCTGCCAGGAGGTCAGATTTCACTGCAGCCTTTGACATTTCATCTCTCTACTGCCTCTCTGTCTGTGTCTCATCTGCCTCTCTGTGTTTGTCTGCCTATCTATCTCTCTCTCTTTTTCCACTGGGAGTGGTATGATGGGATTCTGCAGGAAGGGAGTCCTAATGGAGCCATGGCCTTCATTACATTACCTCTGAACAGCCACGCACGCACGCACGCACGCACGCACGCACGCACGCACGCTCGCACGCACGCACGCTCGCTCGCTCACACACACACACACACACACACACACACACACACACACACACACACACACACACACACACACACACACACACACACCCTTAGCGTTCTCCTTTTGCATGACCAATTGAGGTCTCTGTGGGTGCAGTTATACAGGATGTACATACATGTAAAAACCACACCCACACATACTGTACAGCTTTACAAAGCTGTATTTACCAGACCTGGTTATAAGTGTTTACAAAGAAACCTGTGAAGGACCGCAAGGATCAACCTCTACCTCCAGCAACGTTTACCAAATGCCATTAACAGTGAATGATTGTTTCCTGTTAAATACTTGCTTGGTACTGCTTTGTTGTATCCTGTAGTTAGGCATGATCAGGCAAAAATATGTATGTCGAGTACACTTTCCAACTCCTAATAAACAAGCAACATCATCAATAGAAACTTGTTGTTAGTCAGAGACATGCCACAATGTGGAAATAATTACTTTTGACAGAGCAAAACCCACTACATTTTAGTTTGTTTTGAAATAGAGGTAATATTTTAATGGGATGTTAAATGCTACCAAGTTCTTGGTATATTCTGTTTTAAAAGTAAATCTATAAATAACACATTTTCTGTTAATCAACTAATCATTTCAGCAATGTTATTCTCTCTAAAGGTCTAAACCTGGCCTACCGCAGTGTACAAAATTACCCTGAAAGAAAAAGACACAGATAATGTAAATGCAATTTGTAGATGAATCTCACAGTGACGATACAGTATTTGGCATTAAACTCCAAATATCAAGGAGCCACTTAGTTGAAGGCCTCTGATGCAATATACAAGCAACAAGTCATATGATGTTCGCTATGGGTTTTGTATGAGTTACTATGCTGTGTAATGGTGATAGTGTTGTGAAAAAGGCATTGGTATTCCTGTCACGGATCATCAGCATGTCTATATTTGGGTACTAACAGTGTCCTGACACTGTATCCTGGACTGTCCTTTCCGCAGTCATGGTACCTCATAACAAATTGGGCAGCCAAGTCATATCTTTCACCATCTCCCTCGCTGATCCTATTTCAACATGATGGATGGATGGAAAGGGTAGATATAGCCACACCGCACTTGATGAGTCATAATTTGTAATAGTAATCAGTGTTAGCACCATCGTCATTCTTTTCTTGTTAAGGTGAAGGCCTGTTCATCAAAAAAATAAGATATAGTCGAAAAGTGACAAACACATCTTATAAGAAGAAACTGAGAGAGAACTGCATTAACTGGCCACAGCTTCAGGACAAAAGGAATACCATAAATTATTGAAATGAATCATCAGGAAAAGAAGGATGTTGTTGAATTTTGCATTAAGATACTTCCTTTGCCATTCATGCTGTACGGAGGGCAGGTGTTTTTGGACTGGGGGCAGTG